TCAATGCATTCCTATGGGCTTTTTAAAACCGCATAGGGACGAAATCACTTTGCAGCGATTTTTGCTGCACGGATTATCATCGCTATGCGGGGCACCACTGTATTGTGTGACAAGATCCCTGAGTTAACAGGAATTTTAAGCAGTGGTTTGAATGACTGATTTGCAAGCATTACATATTTATGGTTGTATAAAACACTTCAAGCTAGATGATCAAGATGCCAGAAAGAAATGACAACAAAATGACCAAGCGGTTAGGCCCATCATATACTAGACAGCTAATTTACAAATCACAGTGGTGCCTCGACTTACGACCATCCCTACGACCAGTAGTTTCGAGTTACGACCAGTTCCAGTCGCAAAATTTTGCTTCAACTTGTGGCCAGAGCTTCCAATTACAAACAGAAAATGCAGGGGGAAAAGGCGGGAAATTCAAATGTACTAACCGTTGGTCGGTGAAGAGGCTGCTTCTTTGTAGCTCCTTCACCCCAACAGGTAGAGCAGGGGTCAGGGAACTTTATTACTTTTTACAGTACGCCCCCAAAACTATGGAACTTTGGAAGGGGAGCCGCTGCTCAGCTTTTCCCAAAGAACCCCCCCATCTGAGATCCCTTGGTTCGTTTGTTTTTTTCAAGCATAGCGCCTTCAGGGCTTGCTTTGTTGTTTATTTTTGGTTGTTTTTTTAAAGCCCCATCACCTTCTGATGGGGCTTTCTGTGTGCTTTTGGGGGGGGGCATTTTTTAAAAATGCTAAAATGGATTAATTGCGTTCCAATGCATTTCAAAGGGAAATGGTGCTTGGACTTATGACCATTTTGAGTTACATCGATCTTCTGGAACAGATTATGGTCATAAGTCGAGGCACCACTGTACTGGTTTTGAAATGACATATGACCTTTAAAAAGGATTCTTTGCTTTTCACTTTTTCCTGTTACCCCAGGGAGTTTGCTTTGATCCGTTTATATGTCTAGCTACTGCACCAAAACCAAGTATTGAAGGCACTGTGGAAACAAATTAAATCAGGGCAATTCAGAGAATTATGGCTCAAATTACCTTCTTTATAACAAGTCGTGGAAAAGATATGACCTATACTACATTCCGTCAAAGATTCAATGGAGGTACAGCTTAAACTGTCTTAATCGTTACGATGGGTGACCAGACTTTAATGAAAAGGGAGTTCTGTGAACCCATGGAAGCCCTTGCCAGATTTTCTGATCCAAATGGTTTCTCCTCTGTGTGACTTTTTTGATGTCTACTAAAGTGACTGCTGTCACTAAACCTCTTCCCACATTCTAGGCATTTATATGGTTTCTCCCCAGTGTGAGTTCTTTGATGTAAACGAAGATGACTGCTTCGACTGAAGCTCTTTCCACATTCTATGCATTTATAGGGTTTTTCCCCTGTGTGCGTTCTTTGGTGTCTACTGAGGTGGCTGCTCTGACTGAAGCTCTTTCCACATTGCATGCATTCATACGGTTTCTCCCCTGTGTGAGTTCTTTGATGTGAACTAAGCTGACATTTCCGAATGAAGCTCTTTCCACACTCCATGCATTTGTATGGCTTTTCCCTTGCATGAGTCTTTTGATGTAATCGAAGGCTACCTCTGACACTGAAATTCTTTCCACATTCCATGCATTTATGTGGTTTCTTGCCTGTGTGAATCCTTTGATGTGAACTAAGGCTACTGCCATCACTGAAGCTCTTTCCGCATTCCATGCATATATAGGGTTTCTCGCATGTGTGAGTTGTTTGATGTGAACTAAGACTACTGCTCTGACTGAAGTTCATCCCGCATTCCGTGCATTTAAAAGGTTTCTCCCTTGTGTGAGTCTTTTGATGTGACCTAAGGCTTCTCCTCTCACTAAAGGTCTTCCCACATTCCACGCATTTGAATGGTTTCTCCCCTGTGTGTCTACTCATATGAGAAGCAAGGTTTCCCCTTTGACTAAAGCTCCTCCCACATTCTATGCATTTGAAAGGTTTCTCTCCCGTGTGGATTCTCATGTGGGAAGCAAGATTTCCACTTTGAGTAAAGCCCTTTCCACATTCCAAACATTTAAATGGTTTCTCTCCTGTGTGGATTCTCATGTGGTGAGCAACGTTTGCCCCAGGACTCAAGCTTTTTCCACATCTGAAGCATTTAAATGGTTTCTTCCCTTTATGGATTCTCATATGGGAGGCATGTCGTCCACGCTTACTGAAGCTCCTTCCACCTTCCAAAGATTTCAACAGCTTCTTTGCTACATGGCGGCTTCTACCACTGATGCTCCCGCTGCTTTCTAAGGGTTGTTTCCACTTTATATCAATGAGAGGTCTCAAGGAGATGATACCGCCTTCTTCCTCACTTCTCTTCTCTCTCGTCAAAGTAGCTGCAATGAGAAAAATATTCAGAGTGGAACCTAAGGGAGAAACAATCTGTCAAGTCAGGGAGCAAACCTCAGAAATGTAAATATTACGTTAAAGAACTGGCAGCAAAAGCATTAATCGATTCCAACTGCCCTGTTGAAAAAGTGTGTCTGTTCTCTTGGGTAAGAGAAGGAAGTGGAAGGACCTGCCTTATAATTAAATTGTTAACATCTGGCTGGTTATCTGTGAGAATCAAGGTCAACTCATCTTTTCCCATCTCTTCTGAAGCATCATACGGTAATTGTACAAAATCTATTTCAGCTTGACCAAGGGGGAGGGGAAGAGTGGGTAAGCAGAGTTACCTTGTAGGAAGTTTATTCCCTTCTCAAATGTTCAGGGTATCTAGTAATTTGATTGGTGGAAAGATATCAAAAAGTGTGGATGTTTGCTATGAAAGTAGCTCAGACAATGGATTGGTTCTATTTAGCCTCTCCCAAAAGACTGATCAATAGGACGAGATGGCTGGACAGTGTCATCGAAGCTACCAACATGAATTTGACCCAACTCCGGGAGGCAGTGGAAGACAGGAGGGCCTGGTGTGCTCTGGTCCATGGGGTCACAAAGAGTCAGACATGATTTACCGACTAAACAACAACAACGAAGAGGCTGATAGACTTAGCAGTATAAAGTGTCTAGCATAATTTTTAGTGCTTTTTCTTTTGTTTGGAGTTTAAAGAATCATAGAATAATGAAGTTGGAAGGGACCTTTAAGACCACTGAGACCAACCCCCTGCTCGAGGCAGGAATACAAATTGAGACCAACCCCCTGCTCGAGGCATGAATACAAATCTGAGCATATCTGCCAGGTGATGATCTCAGTTTCTCTTGAATGCCTCCAGGGCTGGAGCGCTCACCACCTCCTGAGGTCTAGGGTTCCATTGTCCTACTGCTCTAGCAGTTAGGAAGTTTTTCCTGATATTCAAATGAAATCTGGATTCCTTAAGTTTAAGCCCATTGTTTTGTGTCCTGCACTATGAAACAATTGAGAACAGATCCTGCCCCTCCTCCATAGGACAGCCTTTCAAATATTTGAAAAGTGCTCTCCTGTCACTCCTCAGTCTTTTCTCAAGGCTAAACATGCCCAGTTCTTTCAGCCTTTCCTCATAAGGCTTGGTTTCCATTCCCCTGATCATCCTTGTCGCCCTCCTCTGAACTTGTTCTAATTTGTTAGCATCCTCCTTGAAGTGTGGTGTCCAGAACTGGACACAATCCTCAAGGTGAGGCCTAACCAGTGCTGAATAGAGGGGGGCCAGCACCTTGTGGGATTTGGAAACTATACTTCTATTAATGACACCTCAAATCGCATTTGCCTTTTTTGTAGCCACGCCTCAAATCGCATTTGCCTTTTTTGTAGCCGCATCACATTGCTGGCTCATATTTAACTTGTGATCTATGACAATTCCAGGATCCTTCTCGCTTGAGGTATTGCTGAGCCAGGTATTCCTTCATCTTGTAACTGCCATTGATTTCTTTTCCAAGATGCAGTTCTTTGCACTTCTCCCTGTTGAATTTCATTCTGTTGCTTTCGTCCCAGTGCTCCATCCTATCAAGGTCATTTTGAATTTTATTTCTGTCTTCTAGGGTATTAGCTATTCCGCCCAATTTGGTATCATTTGCAAATCTGACAAGCATTCCCTGAACTCCCTCATCCAAGTCATTAATAAAGATATTGAAGAGCACCAGGCCCAGGACTGACCCTTGGGATACCCCACTTGCTACCCCCTCCCAGTTACAGAAGGAGCCATTAATCATCACCCTCTGAATATGATTCTATAGCCAACTGTGAATCCATTTTGTTAAAAGCTTTGCTGGAGTCAAGATATATTCATCCATTTTGTTAAAAGCTTTGCTGAAGTCAAGATATATTACGTCTACAGCATTCCCTCTGTCTATCAGGAAGGTTACCTGATCAAAAAACAAGATCAAATTAGTTTGGCAGGATTTGTTCTTGACAAATCCGTGTTGGCTTCTAGTTCTTTCTGCCTTGTTTTCTAGTTGCTTGCAGAATTACCGCTTTACCATCTATTCCAGAATTTTCCCTGGGACTGATGTCAGGCTGACTGGCCTGTAGTTCCAAGCTTCCTCTTTTTTTGCCCTTTTTTGAAGATAGGGACAACACTGGCCCTCCAATCCTCTGGCACCTCCCCCATTTCCCATGATTTCAAGAAAATAATGGAGAGCGGTTCTGAGAATTCTTCAGTCAGGTCCTTCAGTACTCTCTGATGCAGTTCATCTGGCCCTGGAGATTTGAACTAGTTCAAGGTAGTAAGGTACTCCTTGACCATTTGTTTACCTAGCCCCCGATCATCTTTGTTGCCCTGCTCTGAACTTGTTCCTTTTTGTCAGCATCTTTCTTGAAGAGTGGTGACCAGAACTGGAAACAGTACTCAAGATGGGGCCTACCCAGTTCTGAATAGAAGGGAAACAGTCCCTTGCAAGATCTAAAGACTATATTTTTGTTAATACAGCTGAAACAACCTTGTTTTTATCAGGTTTGGTTAGAAAGGACCTTAGAGGGGCAAGTTGACTTTCAATCTATCCAACAATTAAAAATGGATCTTGATCACATCAAGGCATTATCTGGAGTCCTTTCAGTGCTAGCATCTCTGAATTTCTATCAGGAGAAATAGTTTAATCCCAGAGCTTTGTAAGGACATTGCTATTTGCAACGAACACGGACCGGTAGAGGCAGTGGCCAATGCTCAATGAGGAGCCTCTAAGATGATATAGACAAAATGCTGTGAAACTACCAAAGATATGCAAGAAGCACTTGAGAGATCCTATAGTGTTTTCAGTTCTAAACCAGTCACATTTTTTTCTTAGTTTAATAACAGTATTCAACAATTTAAGCTTATCTAGGTTTGAACTAATGGACAGACAAAAAACGGGATTTCTCCCAACCTTGCAGGGTAAAAATTTTGATGATTTTTTTTGCCCAACTTATATAGCAACTAAGTTTCCAAGTACAGTGGTGCCCCGCATAGCGACAATAATCCGTTCCAGGAAAATCGTCGCTATCCAGAATCGTCACTATACGGGGCAAAAAAACCCATAGGAACGCATTAAAATACATTTAATGCGTTCCTATGGGGAAAAAACTCATCGCTATGCGGAAATCCTCCATCCGGCTGCCATTTTCGCTGCCCGGTAAGCGAGGAAAGGGTGCTAAAATGCTGCGGGTGGCGAATTCTTTATAAAGCGGCCATTTTGGAACCACGGATCAACTGTTTTCTAAACATCGCAATGCGAAAATCAGTAAGTGAAACGCTTACCGATCATCGCAATGCGATGTTTGCCCATTAAAAACATCGCAATGCGATCGCTTTTGCGATCGCAAAACCCACATCGCTATGTGGATTCGTCGTTAAACGGGGCGCTCGCTATGCGGGGCACCACTGTATATAATAACTAAGTTTCCAAGAATATTGGAAGAATGCATAAATCAAAAAGGCTTCCCAAAAACCTCAACTGAACATGGCTCAAATTTGAAGGTAATAGAAGGGGGCTGGCTCACACAGTTGCTGGAGCTGTAGCAAGCCTAGGCACATGGTAAAGGATTGCCCATTTCCAAGAGATTCCCCAGCCAACAGAAACTATACTAGTTTTCAATCAAAAGAACAAAGCAGTGCAGAAATATGTAGAGCCTGACTCTTAACACAGAGACAAAAGGAAACGTTGTAAAAGCACGCATGGCACATAATTACAAACAGAAATTATTGGATCAATGATTCAGGGTGGACTTCATAGTACACTTGAATTCTTTATAAATCCTGGTGAAAAATCCAATGGAAATATTCCAATGGCCAATGATGATTTCACTAAAATTGAAGGAAAAGGGACTGACATTCTACAAGATGAACTTTCTAATGAAAGTAATTAGACTACTAAGTGATGTACTTTTTTTCCTGAGTTACAATGCAACATGCATCAGTTTTGGGTGATAACAGGTTTTTGCTATACATTTTTAAAATGGACATCATACACTACCTACAATAGGAGCAGTACGGTAGGGTGGTCGGGAGGCTAACAGGGACTTCTCTGCCTGAACCAGAAACCCTGACAAGCACATTAGAAGAGGACAAAACTCTTATGCACATGGCATTCTTTTTTTGCTCCTATCTGTAAAATTGGGTTATATGAACCAAGGCGGCTGAAAGACAAAACTTACCCAGAGAGATCAGACTGGCTATATTTTCCTCCATGACTTCTCGGTGCAGAGCCCTTTGGTCTTCGTCTAGCAGAGTCCACTCCTCCTCCGTGAAATGGACAGCAATATCCTCAAAGGTCATCAGGACACCCTGAGAGAAGGGAAAACGTTTCAGCTTCATGCACAATGGAAGGGGGTTCTATGGCTATTCTTTACTGTCAAGAAAAATTTGAGTCAACCATGTGACTGATTCTGAGATTCAGGGCTCAAGCAGGTGACAATTTTCTCAGTTTTCTTAATGTCCAGCTTTGGAAAAAGAAAAACAAGGCAGATACCTTCAACTTCTGAAAAGGTTCCGGGAGAGAAAAACACTGAACGGCTCTCCACCGACTTTTCCCCATAGTTTGCGGTGAAGCTGTTTTGGCTCCTCCAGACAGAAGAGACGGGGAAGGATATATTCCCAGCATCATTCCAACGCCTGCCACACAGATGAAAAGGATGCTAAGTTACTTCATTTTTCAAAGACTTTTTATATTGTCCATGCAAAAAGATCTCTACGTTGTCCATCCAAGACTTCAGTCTCTAGAAAGGCAAAGTGAGAAGGACTCAAACAGTGTTCACTCTGAGGGAGAATAAGAGACAGGTGGTTGAAGTTGAGAGAGACCCACCAACCCCAAGGACTTATGTCCCCCCCCCCACGCCTTCGCCATTCCATGAAGGAAGAACCAGGGGCCAATCCTGTAGGGCCATGGTTCCCAAACTGCGTGCCATGTCACCCGGAGAGTGCCACAGAATCCTTTCCTCTTTCCCCCTCCCATCTCCCCTCCTCACCCAAAGTATTGTACTGCAGTTTCTCTGGTGTCGGTGCCTGGGAAGGTGAAGTTAGAGACGTTAGGCCACGAGCAAGCTTCCCTTCAGCTCTGTATATAGTGCAGTCCCTAATTCCATCGACCAGCCAGTCCTGGTAATACACCCTAGGAATGTGTATTGATGCGTTTTACGGTATCGGGAGACAGGTCTCTCATGGTCTCCCAGAGGCATCTGGTGGGGCCACGGTGAGAGACAGGGAGCTGGACTAGATGGGCCCTGGGCCTGATCCAGCACAGGGCTCTTCTTATTTTTTTTTTCTTATCTTTTTTTTCGAGCAGTGGATAATTGAAATCATTGGTACTGATCCCGTAGATACGGCAGTCTTTCTGTACTGGGCAACCAGGGCCAGTTAAGTCAATGGAGCTGCAAATAAAAAAAAGGTTTTGGAACCACTGCTGTAGACCCCTGCATGGTCTGATCAGATAGGCAGGGTATAAATGGAATAAATAAATAAATAAAATAAAATAAAATAAATAAAATAAACCTGAGTATCAAGGACAGACCTTGGAAAAAACGACAAAGGCCACGATCCAGATGTGGGGAGAAGGTGTCGGGCCTGGCATTTAGAGGATCTATCTGTCTGCTGAGTACCAAGGACAGACCTTGGAAAATAAACAACAAAGGCCATGATCCAGATGTGGGGAGAAGGTGTCAGGCCTGGCATTTAGAGGATCTATCTGTCTGCCGTTTTGTTTGCCAAGCTGCTTCCATGTTTATGATGACGCGGAAGAGCAAGGAAGAGTGAAAGAGGAAAGGTGTGCAAGGATTATTCCGCTGCAGAAAGAATTAAGAAGATAAAATCATTCTTTATCTCTCTTTTTGGTAGATTAGGCAGTGGTTGAAGTAAAAGCGAGCCACCCACAATTTACCCCCCCCCAAAAGGACTGAAGCTCTTAAAAATAGAAAAAAAGGGGGGTCTATGTTAACCCTTGAAGGATACACCTTCCATAGGTCAGCTTGTGGGGGAGAAAAGTCAAGGAACATCATGAAAGGTACAGTATGTCAGGCCTGATGGGGGCCAATTTCATGCAATAACAGAGGAATAAGTGATGGGAAGACTTAAGCAGGTGAGATGCAATACAGGCGGCTTAAAGGGATGAGGTGAAAGGGCATTGGAAGAACAGAGAGTCTCTAATGGGTGCTTTGTGCTTTGTATACGCACGGCACTCCAGGTGGTGCTGAGTTCCATCTCCCTCCCCTCGGGCTGCCTGGTCCACTTACCGGGCTACGCATGCTGCTGGGCTCCTTCTCTGGCAGCAGTGCGCCAATCCAGGAAAGAGCCCAGCCAGCCTTTCCCTGCCTCCTCAGGCAGCCAACCACTCCGGCGAGGAGGTAGGACAGGGAGTCTGCCTGCACAGTCAATGAGTGGTTGGCTGCATGGGGAGGCAGCAAAAGGCTGGCTGGGATTGGAGCACCACCGCCTAAGAAGGACTCCAACAGCATGCGGAGCCCAGTAAGTGGACCAGATGGCCTGGGGAGAGGGAGATGAAACTCAGCCCCACCTGGGGTGCTGTGCTTCGTACAAAGCTCTACAGAGCACCAATCTCTAGCAGTGAGAATAAATAAAAGACGGAATGGTAGAAAAAATAGCATATATGCAAAAGGGTGCGTACATCTGTTGGGCAGCCTAGTCAATGCCAAAACCTGGGCATCCAGGCTCAGAGGCTAATCCAGGAGCATCCCTCACTAAGCTGTGCACCTGTGTGTCCAGAGGTAATGCAACTGCACCCAGGACAGGCTGCATCTCTGTCCTTGATCTGCATTTTGACTGACCAGGAGCACCTCTGTCTTCTCTAGATTAAGTTTCAGTCTATTCTCTCTCATCCAGTCCATTACTGACATCAGACTCTGCAATTAAAAGCCTTGAGTCTAACGAGAGTATAGTTAATATCCATTTTAAAAAATTCACTATGTTTATGACACTCTGTGTTATGCAAATAGCATCCCACATCTTCCTTCCTAGCGTAAAACCATGTCAGTCTGCATGAACACATTTAGCGACAAGACAGTGCATTGTCCTTGATCTAGATGACAAGGGAAGTACAGGGTTTTAATATGGCAATTATTCTGGCTGTTCTCCACCTTCCAGTATAGAACGAAACAATTTTAGGACGTGTCTTAAGACATCTTCTTCCCAAATTTTATAAATATCTGCTGTAAACTCATTGCAGCCTTTGATTTTCCTTTTTTTAAGTGTTTTAATAGCTGATTTTTAAATATATCCATTATTGTTACTGGGGAGTTATAGAGTCGTAGAGCTGAAAGAGACCACTGAGGCCATCCAGTCCAACCCCCCGCCATGTGGGAACATCCATCAAAGCACTCCCGACAGACGGCCATCCAGCCTCTGCTTAAAAACCTCTGAAGAAGGAGATTCCACCAACCTTCAAGGCAGCCTGTTCCACTGCCGGACAGCTCTGACCGTCAGAAATTCTTTCTAATGTTCAGATGGAATCTCCTTTCCTGTAGTTTGAAACCATTGCTCCGTGTCCTAGTCTCTGGAGCCATGGAAAACAAATGCCCACCAACACGAATTCTTGTTTTTGTTGTTTAGTCGTTAAGTCGTGTTCGACTCTTCATGACCCCATGGACCAGAGCACCCCAGGCCCTGCTGTCTTCCATTGCCCCCCGGAGTTTGGTAAACTTCATGAATTCTACAAACATGAATTTGACCCAACTCCAAGGAGCAGTGGAAGACAGGAGGGCCTGGCGTGCTCCGGTCCATGGGGTCACAAAGAGCTGGATGCGAGTAAACAACAACAATGTCCTCTATGTGGGGCTGCCATCGAGACTCCTACGCCACCTAAACCCCATGGGGCTTAGCAAAAGAAGCGGGAAAGCAGCAAGCAAAGGGATCTCAAAACGGGGCACCCATGTTTTTGAAATAAAAATGTGATTTGTCACTGAATATGTGAAATAATTTTCAGAAAAAAATTAAAAATTTTTAAAAATATCTCCAGCCATTGATTCAACCAGCTTTTACCAAGTGTTCTGCCACACTTTCCTTTATAATATTTTTCAGATGGTGTGATTTGGGCTTTGCATTTTAGCATGATATACAGGGTTATCTTAAAGGACGGGACATCAAAAAAGCTCACCCAGAGACATCGCATGGGTGAAAGTCTCCTTCATGACTTCCGTGTGCAGAGCCTTTTGGCGGGGATCCAGCAGAGCCCACTCCTCCTCCGAGAAATTCACAGCCAGCTCCTCCAGAGCTTTTGCAACCTGAAAGGAAAAAGAAGAAAAGTGTTCTACATTTGTGAAGGACAGTCCAGAAAGCGATATTGATTAAGTCGCTCAGTGCAGGATTCAAGTCTTCTCCTTCCTAGGGAGTAGGAGCAAGAAGCAAGTGGAAAGAGTAAGATTCTTTTGGGGACCAAGGAAGTAGAGGAGGAGAAGAAGCACTCAACTTCTGTTCCTCTCCTCATTCCTTCTCTCTTACCTGCTCCGGCTGCATGGACCCCGTCTCCATTCCTCCACGAAGGAGAGACAAAGGATGAGGTGTTTCCAACTTATTTCCAGGATCTGCAAGGAGAACAAGGGGATGGGTGTGGGAAAATGTTTGTTTTTCATATACTTTCTCTCCTTTATTTTCCAGGGGAAAAACTGTATTGATCCCTGTAGATGTATATTTTTCTTTAAAGTAGAGAAAGCATAGGAGAGGGAGAGCCCAAGAGCACAATACAGAGAAATTCTTGACTTGGGAAAGAAAGTGATTCTTTTCCTTCGGGTTCTTCAGCTGGAAAGATTTTTTTGCCTTGTTTGGACTAACTCTGAAGACCGTTGAAGCCAAGAAAGCAAGCGAGACACAAGAACCGAGAAAAAATTTGGCAACAACAAAAGTGCAGGTAAAGATGCCAGCTTTAGAAGCAATGGAAATCATGCAATTTCTATGAAGGCGTAGGCACATCATAGGAAGACCTCACCTGTCTTGCAATGCTGTTCCTGCTTGTCATTCACTGCCTGAGTCTCAGGAGGGACCCTTTGGCCAGAGGACATCTCCTGGAAAGAGGGATGATGCCCTACCCTCTCTGATGGTGCACAATAGCCAGGAAATGGGCCTCAGATAATGAAATC